CCAGAATGCAGCCACTTTTCCCAGTTCTGGGGGAGACCACTGAACCTGCCCTCCTGGGTGTTCCCAGCCACAGACTGTGATCCACATGCAGCGAGGAAACTCCACTCTTTGTGCAAGTACTAAGTAGCTAGTGACTGGCTTCTGACCAACAGAATATAGCAAATCAGGGGAGGTCAGTATTAAGATTCATTGACAGAACCTCTGTCACTTACATCTCACTTGCTGCATCCTGTGTTCTCTCTCTGTTTCTGTCTGTCTGTCTCTCCTATCCCTGGACCTGGGGAAGCCTGCATGGGTGTTACTAGGTGCCATATGGAGAGGCCCACATAGGAGATAACACAGGGAAGTCCCAGGCCTCCAGGCAGAGGCACTAGGCTCTCAGCTCAGACTGCATCCTGTCAGTACCCATCTCAGTGAGTCTGGGAAAAAATCCTCCCCTGTGGAGCGACAGCTGAGACCTCAGCCCCAGCTTCATAGAGACCTTGAGTCGAGGGCACCCAGCTAAGTGCTGTGGGAGCTCAGGAGTAACTAGGTGTATGTATTTTGTATGTTGGGAAACCCTCCATAATGATCTGCAGTAAATCAGACAATCTTTAGCATAGAGCAGGTCTACTCAATGTTATGTAGAAACAACCACAAAGATAATGCATATTAATAAAGGTAATAAAATGGACTAAAAACAATAATAGTGAGAATTATGATGATATTACCATTACTACTGTTAAAGAGAAAAGTAAACATAGAAAGATTGCAGATTTGCGTACAGACTTCTCTAAGTAAATTTCAGGGTACCTATATCAGATGTCCTCTGGGATAGTTTAGAGTCAGAACGCTAGGTTTGCACAAAGAAATTTGTCCTGAGAGGAGAAAACAAGCAGGTGATCCTGGGTCAGCAGGGAGGATGATATGTTGGCACAAACAGTGCAGGGGCTCCCTGGGGGACTTCGAAAAAGAAATGGTTACTTGAGCAGCCACGTCACCATCTCTATGTCTGCCAGTGCCGCACCAGCTTTTCCTGGATCCCTGAGTGAATTTAGAACATGTTCCCAGGTTCAGGCATGTCAAGGATACACTCCTTCCTCCTCACTTGTCACAATGTCAGCTCCTAGTCTGACTTTTCTAATTCGGAGGACTGGACTCCAGGAGCGACACCCTCTCCAGCCTTCCCAGGAGACATGATAGTGGTTCCTGGCACAGAGTTGAGGTG